TTCTGAAGTTGTGGTTTCAAAATCACTCATGTCTCTCCATGCTTTGTAACATAATACTACTGCAGTTTGAGCTGTTATCTATGACAGACGTGCTGTAGAGGTCAGCGTGGTGATGGCGGTCAGCAGGGTTCTCTGTGTGATCTCAGCTTCAGCCTTTCATTAACTCAGTGTGCCATGAGCAGCTCAGGCATCCCCGGTGAGGCAGCTGAGGGAATTCCAGGCATTTTGATCAAAGCTAACATTGAGCTTTATGATCATGTGTAATACCAGGCATCCACTGACACGCAGCTGAAGAAGTTGGACGACTTGCTGTCTGAAGCCAACTCGAGGAATGAAGACCTGCAGAAAGCTCTCACTGAGATCACTGTGGCCAAGAACAGACTGACAGGTACTGTAGGAGAGATAATGTGGGGAAAAACATACATTTGGTTAAAAAACTTGATCTAGACTAACTAGACTAATCTAAAAGTTTAGCAAGAATATGTGTGTTACAAATGTTTTTTTTCCCAATAAAATCTTATCTAGGTAAATGTACATACAGTGATCCTGCATTTAACAACAAATGTTTTTTTTTTTTAAAGATTTTCTTCAGATATGAGTCAGTAACAAGATCTTTTTGTTCACTCCTGTCCTGTAGCTGACAATAATGAGCTGAGCAGGCAGATGGAGGAGACAGAGACAAAACTCAGCCAGATAAGCCGCTCTAAAAGCCTGCTGATGGTACAGCACGAGGAGCTCAAGAAACAGTGTGATGAAGAGGTCAAGGTGTGTTCTTTTACTTAGATAGAAACTGGTACATGATCTCATCTGAATATGATCCCATCATTTTTTATATTAAAATAAATAATTTTGAACATGCAATGAGCTCAGACATGCACATGTTTAAAGAAATGTCTGCTTGTGAATAATGTTTCTGGTTATACTATGCACAATTCATTAGTGCCAATTATTTAAAAAAAAAAAATTCTGTAATCTTCCATCAAAATACAGTTTTTTTGCTGTGTCTCCTGATTTCTGGCTGTAGCTTTATACACATACACATGGGGAAAATCATTTTAAATAGGCCTGTCAGGATTGTGACATTTTGGCTGGAGATTACTTGTCATATACATAATTTTGATTAATGATAAAATTGCATTTTCTGTTGAATTGATGACAAAGTTTAAATAATAACTCAATATATAAACCCTAATACTGTAAAATGAAAATAGCTTATTGGACAATGTACCAATGCAAAAACATACACACATGTTTAGGTATTGTGTACAGAAATGCATTTGTGTTGGTTTGTGTGTGTGTGTGTGTGTGTGTGTGTGTGTGTGTGCGTGTGGACAGAGTAAAGCGACACTGAGCAGCAGTTTGGCAGCTGTGCGACAGGAGAATGAGTCACTGAAGGAGCAGCTGGAGGAGGAACAGGAGAGCAAACTGGAGCTGCAGCGCCTTGTCTCCAAGCTTAATAGTGACGTCACACACTGGAGGAGCCGCCACGAGGCCGACTCTATCCAACACAGTGATGAGCTAGAGGAGGCCAAGTACATGTCCCACAAATATACACACTACAAATACACATCCTGTATGACGCTCCACATGTTTTAAGACTTATGTTTATTTTAGGTCAGAATTACCCATGTTAAATTTTTTATTATACCATAGCACTGTTGCATTCTCAATTCTGATTGGTCAGAAGGTGTGATTAATTTGCTCATTCTAATGATCGTTTCTATGGTAACAACTTACACAGGGACGCTGAGGATGTGCAGTGGACGCACCACATAAACTGATTTAAATAATGTGTGTAATAGTTATGTTTAATGTTACTAATAGTTAGAATAAGGTGAAGAGTTCTGTAATGAGATGTTTTTTAGCATTTTTTTGGAAGGAGATTCCGTGTTTTCCAACATGGAGAAAGTCTTCAAGACAGAGGGCTTTGCAGTTTCTCGGTAATGTGACAAGCTGCTTTTTTGTAAAGAGGGAAAAAAACGTTGGTGAGGGAACAACTGTTTATAGCTGCTCTAACATAAGTGATAACAGGAACTAACTTGGCTTGAGGATATTCAACATTAACCACTTAATTATAAAAAGTTCTTTAATAAATAAAAATGTATTTCTGTTGGCAACTTGCTGTGGTATAAGAGAAAGAAAACACTTCAGGATGTATAGTGAAAGGAAAGTAAACAACTACCATGTGGTAACTGTAAGTTTGCCTCCTGTCAGGCCACATCACACTGCCCTGTCATGAATTAGTTTTCTATAACAGCACACCCTGTTGTGTGCATAATGCTGGAACAGTAATGTCTGTTAGTACCAAGGTGAAATAAAAGCATAAAATAAAAAAAGTATTTGTTAATATAAAACGGAACCTGTAACGGTATTCCCTGTTACGTTTCCTCCACTTCGCAGTTACGCTTGCACCTGTGCTCACACACATGTCTATAGGCTCCCCAAACAGAACATTACAGTTAAAATGAATGATCCCAGATTATACAGAACAAAGTTTATCGTGGTCATAAACAGTAGCATGTCATGACAGGAGGTGAATACAATAAACTTAATCCAGGTTTACAAAAAAGCAAATGCTCCTTTGGAACTAGTCAAACCAGATACAGGCCTGAGCTTTTGTTAGACACTTCTGACAGTATGAATTTAAAGAAATGAATAGAGATAATTTTTTTCAGAAATTTGGACATCATTGCTAAATATTGAAACTGGATGTACCACTGTTGTGTGCCTGCAGGAAAAAGCTGCAGTCTCGGCTGCAGGAGGCTGAGGAAGCTGTAGAGGCCACGCAGGCCAAGTGCTCCAGCCTGGAAAAAACCAAGCAGAGGCTGCAGACGGAGGTGGAGGAGCTCTGTTTGGACCTGGAAAAGGTAAAGGAACATTTCTCCAACCTTAATCTCAAATGTGATGTAAATGCTGATATGCTTTTCTTAGATAGTGAGCTTTACATTATTGCTTTTTTGGCTCTAAAAGCATTGCTGATTTGTAAAACAGTGTCCTCCTGAGAATACACTTGCAATTACTATTAAAGCAGCTTTAAGTGATGTAAACTGTAAGGAGTCACTCCTCTTTTCTTCAGTCTCATTCCATCCATCCAGACATCTCTTCACATACTAACACACTGTTATGGTAAGACAAGATGGAAGAAGAGTGAAACAAATACAATCTCAAATCTCCCAAGTATCTTTAATAATTATCTTTAAATCTATCTTTAATCTTTAAAAATCCACACTGATGTTCACTCTCATATTCCCTTTGCTTTGTTTCAATTCTTTCTACATGTTTTATTTTCTGCTGCATTTAAATTTTTAGGCGGTTTTATACTGAAGGCCATTGTCAGCAATGGAGAAACTGGTACATTTGGTTGAATGTCACCCTCTCTCACTTTGTTTTCTTAAGCCTAATCCTAGGCTTGTTCCCTACTCCACAAAGTGCTTTATTCCCTGTATTTAGTAGCCTATGCTTGTTTTGACTGCTGCTGTGGGCACAAAATAATCTACAGCTAGGAGAACTAGCACTTGCAGAGAAGTTACAAAGCACTGATACAGAAGACTCCTGTCACAAATTATAAATAAACATCTCCTCACATAAAACGTTACCACATCAACTTGCAAATGCACATTGTTTGGAATAGTTTATGATTCAGAAATAAAAAAGGAGTCTTTTCAGTCATAATTTTTCTCCATTCAAATTTTGTTAAAAAATATCCTGCAAAACGAACTGGATCGAATCGTGAAGTCAGTATCATGAATCAAATCGAATCATGACCGGAGTGTATTGTTACACCCCTTAAAAAATATTTATCTTTAATATTTGGCTATATGTTTTGCATTATAATACCACAGGCCAACAATGCAGCGGCAGTGCTGGATAAGAAGCAGAGAATGCTGGACAAGCAGCTGGGAGACTGGAGGCAGAAGTGTGAGGAGCTGCTGGCTGAGGTGGAAAGCTGTCAGAAAGAGAGCAGACAGCATGCCGCTGAGCTCTTCAAGCTCAAAACAGCCTATGAGGAGTCTGTGGAGCAGAACGAAGCTCTACGCAGGGAGAACAAGGCCTTCCAAGGTAACATATACCTTATGTTTAAATTACCTTAATGTCAACACATGTACTGCATGATATTTGCCAAAGTGTCATGTTTCACGTGTACACTGCATTTGTTCATTTTAATTTAATTACAGTCAGTCAGCTGAAAGTTGTCTTATGTAAATTGTCTCTTATGCAGTGTGACAGCCCAAATCAATGCAAACATGACTCACTTAACCCACACGTACATTAATTACTGTGTAACTACACTGGTATTATGAGGGATTAAGACCACACAATGCCAAATTTAATCTTTCCTTTTTATGATTGGGGTTATAAGAGAAAGCTATAATTAGTTGTGCAGAATGTATTCAGTATGGGAAACATGCTGACTCAATAGGATTCCTCAGGCAGTGGTGTATGGTGTACAAACCATGTTTTCACACAAACACTGCCATAGTTGGTTATCATCCACCCTGCAGATTTATGGCACTACATCTAAAGGCTGTTGTGTAACTCTAAACAATAATGTTATTTCAGAAGAAATTGCTGATCTCACTGACCAACTTTCGGATGGGGGGAAGAGTGTTCATGAGCTCCAGAAAATGAAAAAGAAGATTGAGATGGAAAAAGAAGAACTGCAGGCTTCACTGGAGGAGTCTGAGGCAGCATTAGAGGTATGCAGTGGAAAAATAATCAGAGGTGGCCTTTATAAAAATAATAGGACGCATGATAGTTTTACACTCAGTACTTTTACAAGGTACAAGACAACAGCATTAGCTAGTGCATGTAATTCTAAAGTTCAGTTCATTCATGTTTTGATTTTGTAAAGAGCTCAGTTATGAAGACAGCTTTGAACAGGGTCAAGCATGTCTTGAAGAAGCATCATTATCTGACATCTCAAACAACTTTTGAAGTATGAGGTGGTATAACAGGTTCATATAAGCAAGCTTTTGAAGCTCTAGATTCTAATCTCACATTGGGCAGCGGCAGGATTCGAACCCATGGCCCCCCTGAAGAGACTGGAACCTTAATCCAGCACCTTAGACCACTCGGTTAGATACAATCCGCAGCCGTTATCATTGCCTTCAACTTAATGCTTTGACATACATTGATCAGCCTTAACATTAAACCCACCTGCCTAATATTGTGTAGGTCCCCTTTGTGCCGCCAAAACAGCTCTGACCCATTATGGCATGGACTCCACCAAGATTTTTGAAGCTGTGCTGTGGTATATGGAACACAAGTGTTGGCAGGAGATCCTTTAATCCTGTAAGGGGGGAGATGGGGCCTCCATGGATCGGACTTGTTTGTCCAGCACATCCCACAGATGTTCGATCAGATTGAGACCTGGGTACATTGGAGGCCAAGTCAACACCTTGAAATCTTTGCCATGTTCCTCAAACCATTCCTGAACAATTTTTGCAGTGAGGCAGGGCACATTATACTGCTGAAAGAGGCCACATGATGTAAAAGAATACATGATTTATCAGACCAGGCCACCTTCTTCCATTGCTCCATGGTCCAGTTCTGATGCTCATGTGCCCATTGTAGGTGCTTTTGGTGGTGGACTGGGGTCAGCATGGGCACTCTGACCAGTCTGCAGCTATGCAGCAGTCTTCTGACACCTTTCTATTATAGCCAGCATTAACTTTTTCAGCAATTTGTGCTACAGAAGCTCTTCTGTGGGAGTGGACCAGACAGGCTAGCCTTCACTTCCGCATCAGCGAGATTCACTGCCCATGCGAGAGTCGCTCAGATTCTTATGCTTGCCCATTTTTCCTGCTTCCAACTCATCAACTTTGAGAACTGATTGTTCTCTTGCTGCCTAATATATCCCACCCCTTAAATTGGCTGATTTGGTCTTACATTAAAAGTGACATATAAATTGGGATTTATAAACTCGAAAACTGACATGAAAATATTAAAATGTGTGTGTGCGAGAGAG